GACCCATTTAATGCATATCTTTTTGACACTGTTTTTTTTTCTGTGTCTTTTTCGATAAACTGATTCTGCACAAGTGTGAACCAGGTGCAGATCAGAATCAATTTAAATTTGCCCTTTGACTGGCTGAAGCAGGTCCATTTTGAATTGATTCATTTGTCAATGTGAACCACAAGTGGGTTATTTTACAACAAGAAGGTTCGATCGGGGCAAATGTTGTGTGAACCACGCTCTGCTGTTGAACTGATCTATTGATTTGGATCGCAAACTGATTCATTTGTAAATGAGAATCAAGCCTCAGGTAGAAAGAGCTGTCGCCACAGGTAAACCCAGTAACACCCAAGTTTCCTTTTGAAAACCCTTTTTGTTGCTGATGTTGTTCAAGTCCTTTCCAACTTATGGCAACCCTATCACGGGGGAGTTTCTTGGCAAGTTTCTTCAGAGGTGGTTTGCCCCAGTCGTCCTCTGAGGCTGAGAGAGTGTGACTCACCCAGGGTCACCCAATGGGTTTCTATGGCTGAGCTGGCATTCAAACTCTGGTCTCTGGAGTCCTAGTCCAATGCTCAAACCACTATAGCAGGAGTAGGCAACCTAAGGCTCGGAGGCCGGATGCAGCCCCCTGAGGCCTTTGGACTGGTCCCAGGCCAATCCTGCCGCCGCTGCCCCCTGCCGCCCCCTGCTACCGTCACCGCCCGCCATGATGATATTGATTATTGTTGTTATTACTTGTTCTTGGGGTTTTCTTGGCAAAATCTCCACAGGGGTTTTGCCATGGCTTTTCTGGGGCTGAGAGAGTATGCATGCATATTTTTAAAAAAATTGAATTTTTAAAATTTTTAAATTTTTTATTTTTATTTATTTATTTATTTATCTATTTATTTATTTTTGGTGCTTCGGCCCCCCAATTGTCTGAGGGACAGCAACCCGGCCCCCGGCTCAAAAAGGTTGCCTACTCCTGCACTACGGGTTCACCTCAGAGTTTAAGGTTGCACTGCATGCAAGTAAGTATCCATTCCTGAGGGAATATTGAGTGCCCCACCACCGCCACCTTTCTCGTACTGAGAAAAAAGCAGGATATAAATTAAATAAATGTCTTGCATGACATTTTTGCACCTGTACTGCCATTCAAGTTCAGCATCCTCCGGCATAGGCATTAGTTCATTCCCAGCGTCTTGTCTTAAAGCAGGGTTTCCCAAACCTTGGTTCTCCAGATGTTTGGACTTTGGCTCCCAGGATCCTTAGCTGGGATGTTTGGCTCCCAGGATCCAGTTGGTCAATCTGGTTTGGACTTCTGGGAGTTGAAGTCCAAAACACCTGGAAGACAAGGATTGGGAACCATGGTCTGTAAAGATCTTTCCTGTATTGCATACAACTTTTCCCCAGCATTCAGCCAACTGAGATGCATTTTATTCAGCTGAGCCCACTTGTATGTGTTCCTTTAGTGTTATGGCAAGTCAGACACTCTCAGGGCCATTGCAGACTGGCCGAAGGGGCTGGCCTAGGGATAGAGTTGGGGCAGGACAGCCGCACGCCAGCCACCCAACCCCGACCCGACACCGTCCTGATGCCTTGCGGCCATACACACGGCGCACGGCATCAGGACACCCTTCCCGCTCAGCGTACAGACACGCTGCACTGAAAGGGCACAGAAGAGCCGCGGTGCTGGCTCTGAGGGCAGCCTTTTGCCACCCCTAAAAGGAGCAGCATTTTCCTGCTCTTTGGGGAGTGGCAAAAGGAAGGATCGGGACCATCGCATGGGATTGCTGTAGCCCCGATCTGCCACTCCCCTGGGATATATTTGATAGGATCCAGACTTGATAGGATCCTATATTTGATAGGCTCCAGACTAAGGGAGTATCCACACTGGAGAATTAAAGTAGTTTGACACCACTTGAACTGCCGTGACTCCATCCTACAGAATCCTGGAATTTGTAGTTTGTTGAGGTATTCAGCCCAGTTTCTCACAAAGTTCTGGAAATGAACTACAAATCCCAGGATTCTGTAGTTTAGAGTCATAGCAATTAAAGTGGTGTCAGACTACTTTAAGGGTATATACACACTGGAGAATTAAAGTTCTGTATTTCACAATTTGTGCCACTATCATTCTAGCTGGTTTACAAATAAATAAGAGATCTACAATCAATTATTAAAATAACTATTGCAACAAATGAAAAAGGAGTGATAAGCAACTGAGCCGAGAGGTATCGTTGACTGATTTTGTGTATAAGAGGATGCAGAATGTGAATGTTTGATTGCACTTGTTTAAACTAATTTAGCTGAAGTGTATTTTAAAGTTAACAGATTACTTTGTTACAAGTATTGAGTTGCTGCATCCTATAATTTATTGACAGCAAATCAAGCACTGGATTCCTTAAGCTGATTCACCCGTGGATTTTTTTTACTGTTTATATACACACTCTTGATATCTCATTAAACAGCTGAATATGTGAATTGCCTCAAAATATTGATTTTTTTTTTTTACTGTGTTCTGTTCACTTTATTATTTATAAAAAGATATGCCCTGTTATGCCCAGTCGCAGCAACAGAGTGAGATGGATTGAAAGCTGTTTGGTGAAAGCTGATCACTTGATATTGCTGTTTGCATGATGGAAATTGCTATTTGTGAATGTAGCCATGGTGTCTTCCACTAGGGCAATAGCCCTGCTTTGTCCATATTGAAAGGACACTCCAAGAAGTACCCAGTACTTCAAAAAGTATTCAGTTATATTCACCTAGTTTGAGAATAAGTGAACTTTAAAGTTTGGCAGTATGGCATAAAATGAATAAAGATTAGTTCCTTTTTATCTGTACTACCTTTAATATTTCAAATATCTTGTTTTGTGAATTAATTACTTTGCATTTCCTAATAAATTTGTCTTTTGCTATTTCAGGGCTCAGTCTTCAACCAGATTATTGGCTGGTTCAAGATGCAAATGAATTGTTCATCCATAATGCTTACAGATTGTGATACATTAACAACTCTTGCATCATCTTGGACAAACTAGGTATAACCAGCTGAAAATCATTTGCCCTGAAAATGCTTTTCAAGCATTGTCATACTTCTGTTCACTATATCCTGCCAGTACTTGTTTGTATGCATGTACCTTCAAGTCTCCTATCAATTTATGGTAATCCCATGAATTTCATAGTGTTTCTTAGGAGTACTCTCAAGTGGTTTTGCCAGCTTCTTCCTCTGAAATATAGCCTACAGCTTCTGGTATTCATTGGTAGTCTCCCATTCAAGTACTAACCAGGGCTGACCCTGCTTAACTTCCAAGATCAAACAGGATCTGGTGCCTTAGGGTATTTAGACTAGATAAGTCTAAACATTGGCTATTAAAAGGGAAGAAACGATGTAAATTACCCAAGTTAGAATGTCCAAAAATAGAGAAGACTGAGTAAAAACAGAGAGCCAACTGACTTTCAGCAACCCTAATGTTTAATGCTGTTGGTGATTCCAGGAGGCTTTCAGGGAAAACTGCATTTGTGATAATTTTCTTTGTAATGCAGTTACAGAATTGCACAGCCAAGATGAAAAGGGAAGGTTTGTTATCAAGCTTGTTTTCAGGCCAAGTGAAGAGCCATAAAGACATCTGTGAAAGCATCAACAAGACTTTGGGGGGTTGCAGACTGCCAGAAATAGTGCAAATTGAGTCTACTTTTAGGATTAGGGTTAGGGAATCATGGGAACTGTAGTTTATTGTGGCACCAGAGCTCTCTGACAGAGAAGGCTCAATGTCTCAGGAAAAAAAAACAATTCCCATGATTCCTTAGCACTAACCCTAACCCTAAATGTGGACTCAATTTGCACTATTTCTGGCAGTCTGCACCCCCCTTTCTTAGCTATTATGCTGTAGTTTTGTTTTCAAACCATTCTTCTCTCGCACCTCTGTTTCGAAATAGACATGCAGCAAATCAAGATTAAACTAAGATAACAATAAACCACCCTTAATTCAAGATGAGATTCACATGCCAATTTCAAAACATGGTTTCAGATACTACTTTGTAACTTCTAAATAAACCATAGGACGTTCTCACACGGGGAGTCGCGGGGAGAAAGTGGAAATAAATGGGCACGAGCGGAAGTCTTTAATTTACGGGATTTGTCCCGTTCCGCCTCGTCTGATAACTAAATTCGAATTTAAAAGGGGGTTAATTCGAACGAAAACCTGATCTTTTCATTTTCGGGATTTTTGAGGATTTGAAAAGATCAGGTTTTTGTTCGAATTAACCCCCTTTTAAATTCGAATTTAGTTATCAGACGAGGCGGAACAGGACAAATCCCGTAAATTAAAGTCTTCCACTCATCCCGTTTATTTCCACTTTCTCCCCGCGACTCCCCGTGTGATAATGTCCATAGTTCATAAGCCTGCTTGGCTGAATGTACACACAAGCTGAAGTTCAGCTAAACAAAATATTATTTAGCCATTGTGCCTGAACCAAGCTTATTTGTAATGGTGAGGGGAAAGCACTCTAATTCAAACATTTTCTTTCCATAACATTGGATCTGATTATGTTATTTAAGAGTGATTGCAAGAGCCAAGGAAAGGGGGAAACCCAGGTAGACAGAGGCCATGTGTTTCTAGCAAAATATCAGCAGGGCATTCAAGGGGCCGACACCTTTTATTTTCATGTTTTTATTTGACTGTTTATAGACATTTGCTTTTTAAAGATTCCACCCATTGATTCCAGTAGGAAGTAGGAAGTAGGAAGGAAATAAAGATTCCAGTAGGAAGGAAATAAAATACACCGAGACCAAGTATAGGGTAGTCACCATCCCTTCTCCTATTCTGGGCTGGTGCAGGGGAAAAGGAGACCATTAGATTTCATGAATCTACAGCCTCTCTTTGCACCTTTCTGTTTTGTTGTTGTTGTATGCCTTCAAGTTGTTTCCAACTTTTGGTAACCTTCAGGTGAATCTATCACAGGGTTTCCTTGACAAGTTTCTTCAGAGCAGGTTTGTCATTACTATCCTCTGAAGCTGAGAAACTCAGTGAGTTTCAGGGCCAAGCAGGGATTCAAACCCTGTTCTCCAGAGTCATAGCCCAATGTTCAAACCACTACACCACACTGGACCTTTCTGTAGTTGCAGGCAAAATGTTCATAAAGTATAATCACCTTCTCTGGGGGCAAATAGCAATCTCTTGCCTAAGAGGAAAATCTGAAGAGTTTATGGTCTCTGGAGCAGCCTCCCGGGGACCACAGGATTATCTTCTTAAATCATTAAAATTAATAGGAATGTCTGACTTTCACTATTTTATTTGTGACCTGTTTTATTGCAATATCACTTAAAACCATTGTAAATTTGGGTTACATTTCCAATGATATTTCTGCTCCTTTTCTTGTTTGTGCCGTGTTAAGTAAATGAAAATTTACTACATCCTCGATTTCTATACTAATGCTTCTTTCACAGATTTTTGAAAAATAATGTCTAGAATAATTTGATAAATTTCACCTTCTAGATGTTAAAAATAATGATGGCTTTATCATAATTATCATGTCAGTTTCTGGGGTATTTAAAAATACTAAAATCATGCCAGGTGACTTCAGCTTTTATTCCAGTAGAGGTCACTAGTTTACAAGTCAAGAGCTTAAAAGAACTTTTAACAGTAGTTCAGAAATTCAGACTTTATTCATCAGATGAACATTGTAATTTTAGCTCATTTGTACTAAAAAAAAGTTTACTTTGAAAAAGCTCCCAGTTTCTTCCCTTTCTAATATTTACAGGCATCTGGGTAAAGGTTAATTGATTGGTGTAGGAAGAAAGAAAATATCAATCTGCTTATTGCAAATAAGAAATCTTAAGTGTTTTTGTGCTGGAAAGTAGAGAGTGAAGTCAGATACACAGAATACTTTAACCTGTATTTAACACAAATATATTTGTTATTTTAACATATCTACACCTGTCATCTAGTTACCGGTACTATATCCAGTATTAGAGCTTAAGAGCTATTTAAAACAACAACAACACTAGGTTTATAAGCAAACCTAGAAAAAGTGGATCCTGTGGTGATCTTGGTAACAGTAATGCCCTAGAAGGAGTGTGGGGATTTGAGGTGAGACCACTAGCACAGGTAGTTATTAACACCAGTATGGACACCATTGGATTATCTCAGTGGGTATCCCCTTTTCAAGTATTTTCTAGTCATTCAGAAGAGCATCTTTGACAGTGGTCAGTTTCTGTAATTAAATGGATACACTTGGAAACTTTGCTAGGATTGTAAAGACAATCTCTAGCTTTATTAGCTCTCCTTTACCTTATCCAAGTTGATCCTGGGGCTTTCTTAGCAAGATTATCTTGACTGTAAAGTTTTCTTGGTAAGATTTATTCAGAAGAGGTTTACTACTGACTTCTTCTTAGGCTAAGAGAGTGTTACTAGCCCAAGTTCATCTAAATGCATAAACTTGGCAACTTTGCTAGGATTGTCAAAACAATCTCTAGCTTTATTAACTCTCTCCTCTACCTTGTTCAAGGGGGGATGCAGACTGGCCCAAAGGGCCGGCCTGAGGATAGAGTTGGGATAGGGCAGCCACACGCTGGCCATCCCAGCCCCACCCCGACACCGTCCTGACACCGCACGCTGTTATGCGCAGCATGCAGCATCAGGATGCCCTCCTGGTGCAGTGTTCTGACATGCTGCGCCAAAAGGGCAGTGAAGAACTGCAGCGCTGGCTCTTAGGGCGGCCTTTTGCCACCCCTGAAAGGAGCAGCATTTTGCCTTTCTTTTTAGGGCAGCAAAAGAAAGGATCAGGGCTGCGGCGTGAGGTTGCCACGGCCCCGATCCGCTGCTTCCCAGGGCGACCCAGAGCCGCCCGTCTGCAGAGGCCCCAGGTTGATCCTGGAGTTTTCTTAGCAAGATTATCTTGACTATAAAGTTTGCTTAGTAAGATTTATTCAGAGGAGGTTTACTATTGATGTCAGGTACAGCATGCCCACAGGTCTTCTTTCAGATCATAAAAACAGATCCTAGACTTAGTCGAAAGGACAGCTTTTATTGCAGTAATGAAAACATAACAGACAGGTCCGTGACTTCTTTGACAAGTCTGAAGTTAAAACATACTGAAACACTTTTATAGAACATAGCAATGTCCCTCCCCGTAGATTGGTGTAACTCAGTGATTGGTCCCAAATTCCCACACTCCGGCCATTAATATGATGTCATGCTTTATTGTCCAAAAAGTCTGGCAATTGGCATGATGTGTGTGAATCTGTAGCTTCCCACTGACAATAGACAAAACAACCTTGAAGTAACATCTGCATTCTGTTTATGTGATATATCAGCTGGGACTGGGATCACGTATTTATCAATATCATCACATATATGTATTTAACATATTTAACAACCCAATATATATAAATCTAAAACCATCACTTATTAAAACCATCAAACAATCTATTTATACATAAAGTGCTTTCAAAACCATTTTCATTATCTCTTTAACCATATTTTTAAACTCAAGCCTCTAGCTTTAGCCAAGGTGGAAACATCCCACACGCATACCAAAAGAGCCTTTTAGTTCCCAGCCTTTTTTAGCTCTTTTAAAACTCATTAACACTTACAGCACAACCTCACAGTCAACTATATATTATTAATCTCATCTCTAATCAAAATCAACCAAAACAAATTCTGGCAGGAAAGCATTAAGCTAATGCGTTCCTGACAATTGACTTCTTCTTAGAGAGTGTTACTAGCCCAATATCATCCAGTGGCTTTTCATGGCTGAGTGGGGATTCAAAGCCTGGTCTCATAGAGTCCAAGTCCATCACTCAAACCTCTACACTATGTTGGCTCCCTCTCATGTATTTTACATTATATTCTATTATGTTTCACATTTCAGTCTTTATTACTTAAGAAGATTTTTCTATATAGATAGATGGATATATTCATTTTGTATTCATGCTAAACAGAAGCTGATAAAGGATTAGTGGCAGCAAATGCATAAAAGGGAAAAAATGCTTCACAGTTCCATATTTAGTCAGGCATGAACTGGTCTTTAATTTGTAATCTGCAGCTGCTGAACATTAGAAAGAAACTGTTTTCCAGTTTTAGTTCCAGCAAAAAGAAACAGAGAATCTTATAAACAAGCACTTCATTTCTAGAAACTGTTGGCTGAACCTCCCTGAGAAACTATGAGGAAGGGCTTAGTAAAAATCACCATCATCCTTTTGTTGCCTACACACGGCATATTGCCTTTTTTCCTGTTTCCATGTGCATAATTTTAAATGTACATATTTAAATATGAACAATTCTGTCATACTAAATGCATTGTTGCTTTGGGTTAGGATGGTGTGAGGAATGTTGTCCCACACTGCCCATGATCTCAACACAAATGCTGTGTGCCTGAATAGAGCAAAATGAGAATGGGTCCAACCAGGGACTTTATCACATGGGGGAAATCCCATGCAGAAACAGGATTGAAAAACTGGAAAAAAAACCCCTCAAAAATGGGTTGATTTTCACACACATCGTTATTATAACAACAACAACAACAACAACAACAACAACAATAATAATAATATTTTTTTATTTCTACCCCCCCCCCCCACTTCAGCAACCGGGGCGGCGTACAACAGGTTAAAACTGATACAGACTAAAACATTCCATCAACCATTCCCTAGCCCTCCCACCCCTTAAAACTAAATTAAACTAATGCAGAATTAAAATAACACATAAAATAATATATAAACCAACTTGGGGCAAAAGGTAATAGCAGCAAGGGGGGGACAGGTGAGCAACCACCTCCAGTGAGCCAGGAAGTTATTCTTGGAAGGCCCGCCAGAAGAGATCCATCTTTACTGCTTTTTTAAAGCAGTCAAGAGTGG